CACTGTGAGAAAGCCTTTTGTCTGGACAAAAGCTGAATCCGGTCTGAACGAGTTTCTCCCGTCCGGAACGAGTCTGAATGCGTCGGACGCCGTTCAGACTGTCCAGAAAGTCTGGAAAACATCTGGGAACGGTCCGAACGACATCTGAAACCCATCTGAATCGCCTGCGGATTCAAAGTAGGACCTTTGACAGCCTCAAAGCTTAGAGACACGCGTGCATGTGAAGCTCTAGTTCACAGCTGCCCCAAGTCTTCGCTCAAGATGCAACACCCGGGCTTGAGACGGTAGCTCATCCATCATGAAAGTGGACTCGAATCGCTACAGTATACGTAGTTGAAGCTGCTGTTCAAAAGACTTTGTAGGCAAAATGGCGGATCTATGATTCCACCATATGATCACACATGATGCATATGAGCCAGCCGGCTGTTCTGGCTTGCATCCGCATGCATGTGGCTGCACATGCATCCCTGCTGGCTGCAAATGCAATGCATGTGTTCATGACCTTCAGAGGATCGCCAACACTTTCAAATACCAAATGGCATCACGTGCAAAGTAATGACTCTCGGAAGTCAATGTGATTTATCGACTAAGTCCTGGTCAACCCACTTAATGCTAATCTGCTTCCGCAAGGGTTCAACTTTGATTAACTCGGGATCAGCAGGGTTTTATCAATCTTTGTTTATGCAACTCGCGTTCCTCAATCGCATTCGACCGGAGGGAACAGTCCAACCAAAGCACCACGCCAGATACATTCTTGAATCTTACGCTCGCTCTTTCGTCTAAGCTCAATCCAACTTGTCTCAACCACGGCGGCCGCGCCGGTCAGAGTCCCCGCGAACGACAGGGAAGCACAAACGTCCGTTTCTCGTTGCCCTTCTCCTTCACGAACACGAACTTCGTGATCAGGCAGCTGACGTCAAAGAACTTTCCGGACATGATGGGCTGGCTGGCGTCGATCACATCTAGCCCCTTCTCCGTCTTCGCCTGTCCGAAAACGTCTAGTTGCACTACCCGCAGCTGGTCCCCGGTCACTCCGTCTAACACCCGAAAAAATCGGAGGACAGTCGCGTACGCAAGCTTCGCTTGCCTGCCTTGCTTCAACGCGACGCGGACTTGGACGTTGAAGGAGTGCCGCACCTTGGTCGCGTAGTGCTCGCGCGCCTGGAACCCCTCCCCCCGCACCTGAGCGGCCCGGAACTCGTGCACCGACCAACGCGTCTGGTCGGTGGTGAACTCCGCACTCTCCGCAAAACTGCCGAGGTCCGCCAGAGCGTCGTCCCCGAGCTGCCCCAGCCGCACTTTCCGGCCCACGTGCAGGAACTGCACCCCATCTTGAAGCTCGTCTGTCGGCCCCTTGAATTGCTCCGGCTCCGGAACTTCGGACAGCCCGACGAGAGGGGCGTACTCGGGGACTTCGATGGCGCAGTTGATCAGCGCCTTCTTCAGCAGTACGTCGTTCCCGATGACCTTGGCGGGCTGCCACGTCAGCCCCATGTTGGCGACCGTCTGCTTCATTTCTTGCACGCCCTGCTCCACCCACCACTCCAGGCTCTTGGCGGTGGCCCCGGTTGCTGTTTCTTGATCAAAAGCGTGGTTCACGATCATGTGCAAGTTGAGCTTGCACATGTGCGGTCCGATCTCCTGCACGAGGTGAGAATTTCAATGGGCATCAGTAGAGCGAACACATAATCCCAGCCGGGTGTAAGAAAACGACTAGAAGAACGGAAGGCTCATTGACCACATGATACATCTTGGTAAGGATATATATCAGTGGGGCGTACGGGCGGTTGCCGACCTCATCCGTCTGGTTGCCGACCTCATCAGAGGACCAGCTTTTCAATCAAGAATCAGAGTTCCGGCTCAGAATAATCCTCTTGATGTTCAGTGTTTTGTAATGGCAGCTTGTTTCGAGAGCATCACTGAAAAGTGTCAGAAACGGAGCCGGTGTGACCAGTGGACGCGAGAGGCTGTGTGCAGCTGCTTGGGCGGGCATTGGGCGCAGCACGTCGATCGTTATCTTCCTAAACTAGGAAAGTTAGCTCTAAACATCGGTCGTTGAGATCGGGGAGGCGCCGTGCACGGGCGAACTGATTTTGAGCGTCCGAAAAGCAGCACGAAAGCGGCCCGAAAGCGTCCGACAAAGCAGCATGAAAGCGGCCCGAAAGCGTCCGGAAAAGCAGCTTGAAAGCGGCCCGAAAGCGTTCCGAAATAGCAGCATGAAAGTGGTAGGACAGCGTCCGAAGGAACACTGTTGATAGCGGCTCGAAAGCGTCCAAAAAGCGTACAGAAAACGGTTAAAAGCGTCCGGAAAGGGCAGCCGGAAAGCGGCCTGACAGCGCCCGGAAAGCCGAAAAAGAAGCCGGAAAGCGGCAGGAGCGTCCAGAAAACGTCAGGAAAGCAATCAGAAGCGTCCGGAATGCCTTTGGAAAGCTGGCGGAAAGCTGGCGGAAAGCGTCCGAATAATTGGCCGGATAGCGGCGGGGAAGCGTCCGAATAAGCAGCCGAAAGGGACAGGAAAGCGTGCAAAAAGCGTCGAGAGAGCTGTTAAAAGCGTCCGGAATGGGCAGCCGGGAAGCGGCCGGAAAAGCGTCTAATTAAGGTCGGCCGGGAAGGGTCCAATTTTCCAAAAAGCGGCAGGACAAACCCAGAAGCGTCCGAGAAGCTCAAGGCAAGCGTCGAAAACTGTCCAGAAAGGGTCCGCAAGGCGCCCTGGAGGGCTGAAGGTAGTTTGTAGCACTGAGGTCCAAGTTGTGAAACGAGGAAATCACAAGACCAATCTTTAAAGTTTGAATGCGCTCGTGCTCTTCACCTGCTCGACAATTTTGGCGTACGCGAGCGCGTTTTGCTTCGCTTTCACCCTCTGCTCCATGTCCATCCCGTCGTCCGTGATCCTGCAGTAGTGCAGCACCACCGCTCGCAGATGACGCCAGGCCTTGTCGAGCTCCGGGGTGAGGCAGCCCCGCATGACGTACACCGAGCTGGTTTCGACAAACTGGAGCAGCTCCGACATCGTCATTGAGCCCCTGTGCTTCACGACGCACTTGCCAGGGCTCCCGTGCTCATGCGTCCACCGGATTTCCCCCTGCCGTTCCACGACCTTCCGCCGGTTTGCTTTCGTCATCACGTGCTCCGGCCGGTCCGCCTCCAATTTGTAGTCCGCCATGACCACGTTCAGAAAGTCTTTCACGTTTCCGAGTAGGCATCCGTGGGCGATAGGCAGCAGGAAGCCCTTCGTGACGTCGAAGTACGGGAGGAATTTTGCCACGCAACAAACCCCTTTATACCCCGTCTCCTCTTCACTTTCCTCCTCATTTTCTACCGCCTCCCCGTGCCTTAAGTGCTGCTCGTGCGTCCTCCGCGGCGCCTGCCCCGCGAGTAGCCCTTTACCCCCCCCCCGGATGTGTTGCGGAGCTGGTTTGGCATAACCGGCGAAGTATACCCCCTGCTTGGGTCCCTCGTACTTGCTCCCCTCGAACCAGCAGTAACCGCACCCCAGGTATGCGGTCGCCGCGACGAACTCCTGGAGAGCGTTCCGCGCGAGCGTGTCCGTGCTGATGAGGCAGACGTATGTCCGGTGGCGGGTCGTTTGCTTGGTGGAGCTGTCGACAGTGATCTCGAAACCTGCACCAAAGGGGATCACTCACTCTCAGTGCGGAGCATTCGTTCCAAACAAACAGGATTCGCTCTCACTCCGTTCCCTTTTCTCCGTGGGTGCGCCATGATACGGACCCTTTCAGGCGGGAAGGTGCTAGGTTGAAAACAAACTTAGGATACGAAAGTTTCAAAGATTTGTGTCCTGTGCCACAGCTCAGGCTCTCAAACTGAGCAGCCGGAGTCAAAGAAACTTAATTGCAGATAGAGATTCGGCGCGGACGCAACTAGAGCGCATCGCATGAGGTTGTTATAAGGTCATGAACGGAGAGAACCTCGGCACTCCTTGAAAACCGGGGCAAGCCTTCAAGGAGCACCAGGCACTTAGACGAGTGTGGCCAACCGCCCGGAATTCCAACCCGGCGCTCTAGCGGGCCCACCGGGTACTAGGGTGGGGTCTAAGAATGACCCGGGTGACTGTACCGGGCATTTTTGCTTATGAGGTGGAAGTGTTTGCAGGCCCTTATTTAAGCAAGGGAGTGGATGGATTTGGACCTGACCGGTCTTTCCACAGCAGCCCAGATGGCTTTCTGTCAAAACATTTGGTAGAACTAGAGCGAAAGAAAAGAGCAGATGAGGCCGGGTAAAAGTGTGCGCGCGCTCATGCGCACGGCAGGAGACAACGAGGTGCGGTGCCGGATGATGGAGATAAACAGCTAGCACGGAACGGCTTAGGCGGCCAAAGAGAGGGCACGAACCAGCACAGAAAGAGGCTAGGAACCTGGAAGAAACGGATCGGAAAAGAATTTGGGAGCGCAAAAAAGCAGGCCCGGGGCCAACAAGGTGAGGGCCCGGGAAGTGGAATCGAGGGCCCGGGGACCAGATGAAAGGGACCGGGAGACAGAAGAGTCGGCTCAGAGAACGGACGGAAGACTCCAAGGAGCAGAAGCATTGACCGGAAAACGGAAAAAAGGGCCCGGGGAGCGGCAAACAGGGCTCGCAAAAAGCAGGTGGAGCGAGGGTGTCGGCAAAAAGGGCCCACGAAAGCGAGGCAAGGACACCGAATTTTGTAAGACAGACCAGCTTCATGTAAGTAGAGCAGCGCGGTTCAATTCTCGCTTCTCACCTTGCGTCCCTCCTTTGGCCGCCTCTCCCAGCACCCCCTCAAAGTAGGGCGCTATCCACGTCGGCTCCTTGGGCCCTCGGATAATGATCAGCACTTGTCGGAAGCGCTTCTCGCTGCGCCGCGTACTAGAGAGGTCGAGAGACCTGAGGAACACGAAGCCCATGCTAAATTGCAGACCCTTGTAGGGCTTTGCAAAATCAAAACCTATTTCATAACCTCCGTTCTCCCTACGAAACAGCCCCCCCCCCACTTTCGCGTCTATTTCCGCAGCGTACCGTCCCCCCCAAAAGTCGTCGCCGAACGGATCTCTCGTCCCGTCTTCATTTCTGGCTTTGCAGAATTCCGGGTCAGCCCAGAGCTCCTTTATTGACTTCTCGAAGCCGAAGTCGATGCAATAGTTGCGCGGCCGGAGGCGCGGCCCCTTTTGCGTGCGGTACTCTTCAAAGCGCCTCTCGTCGCAAGCTGGACACCTGAGGGCAGAAGGGAGAATTCTGCTTATGAGAATTATGCTTGACATACATGTCATGAATGCTTACAGCCAAAGATGAGGAGGACAATGAAGAGGCGATACTTGTGGCTCATCTGAAGATACAAGCTTTGGCCCCAAAATGGTCACAATCATCAATTGTACCCAAGATTGTCAACAAGCAGGTGTTTCCAACCCAATGAAGAGGCAGGCAAAGGTTGCTCGTAGATGCTTCAACCTGCTGCTGATGAGCAGCAACAACACAACAGATTGAATGCGGAAAATGCTAGCAGTGCAAGCAAAAGCTCTTCTGGATACCTGGAGCTCAAGCGGATGTGTGAAAGTCACCTATGCTGCACTCTTCAACTCTTTTGACGGCAAGTATTCTCAAGTGACAACAACCGCTAAAACATGGCAGCTGAGGAAATAGAGCTAGCTTTCTCTCACAATTCGTCCTTGTGTAAGCGCCATTCTTTCTCCGGGAAGCGTTCAAATCGAACGCAGTCGTTGACGCAACAGTGTACGACATAGGGGCTCAGGTCCTCAGCCCCCACCACCTGCTTCATGGCATACAACGACGGCGGGTACAAGTTCGGTTGTGGCAGAAGTCTGGCAATGCGCTTGCACTGGCGGTCGAAAGTGTTGTTGCCGATTCCCCCACTTCTCTTTTCCTGTAGCGCTTCCATGGCAGCTGCCAGGACAGTGCTGGAAGAGCCGGAAAAGAGCGGTTGAAAGCGCCGGTTGCGCCACAGATGCTGCGCTGAGCTTGCATCCTGCAGCCGCGGACGCGTGTTTCAGTAAACCTTTCAATTCCAAGTTGCGCCGCGGCCGACAAATTGAGACGCGATTGGGACAAGATAAAAGTCTCAGTGTGTAAATGGAGCTAGCCTAAACTGAATGAACAATCATATCAAATCTTGGGAACGTTCCTTTACCTGATCAAATAGCATGCGGATGGGACAATGACTTCGCCTAGTGCTTCAGACGCACGACAGTTGCCTGATCGGCATAGGGTTTCACAGATGCAATATCATTTGGCGGAGTCCAACGTAAAAGCACATCTCAGCTCAAACAACAACAAACGCAGAAGAAACAATCTTGCTCTCGCAAAATGGGTCAGCCAATGCTAGAGGAATGAGAAGATGGAAGGCACACAACTCACGTTTCCCAGAGATGCACTCACACCCTCAGCATCATGATCCATGTCTTCTTCCTCACATTCTTGATCGCTAACGTTCATCAATCGCAGCAACTCTTCCATTTTGACTTCCAGACTCTCTCTACTGATTTCATTTTCTTCATCTGCTGATTGAGTCTCGGAGAGCTCATCATCCGAACTTAGATCTTGAAAATCCTCTTCTTCTACTGCGTCTCTTTGAGGCCCCTGCTGATCACTAAGCTCCTCACTCTCGTTCTCGTCATCCCCATCCCAGTCCCTCCATTCATTCTGCGGATCATCCTGGGGGTCTCGAGAGCCACTGTCACAGGCCTTCTCTTCCTGCACTCCTTCATGCACAGTCCCTGCTTCGGACTGTGCACTCCCATCGGCCCGCTTTCCGCCATTCAGATTGTGCTCCCTTAAGCCACTTATCTGCTGCTGATGCTCCTCTTGACTGGTCAGTCTTGCAATAAACTCAGCAGGTGACACTTCAGCAGCTGGTGTTGCCACAGCCTGAACATCCTCTGTGAAAGACTGTTGATCCTGATTGTGATGCAGACGCGGGCGCTTGAACACAGAGCCATCATTTCCTTCCTGTTCTAGTACAGGCTTGATTGAAGCTGCTGCACAGTCAATCCCTTTGAAGCAAGTAGCGTACCATGTTGACCTTTTCTTCCACTCATGACAGTTGCCACACTGTTTGTACTCGCTTCCCTCCAGAGTCCCACTAGAGACCGTTAGGATTGCAGCTCTTGCTGCTGCGAGCTGGTCCTTCTCAGAAGACTCACATGCTGCTGCTGCTGCTCCAGCAGGTGTCCATTGAATGCCAAGCTTAGTGCTAAGATCGTTGGCATCCATCATGGAGAAGCTGAGTCCTACATGCTCAACGTTGCTCCCACATTAGCAGTGAGAATTGAATATCTAGCTCTTGACTTCTCGAGCTCCCCATGTCCAGATTAGCTTGGAAAGCACCCTTGCCAAAAACTTGAAAGCTCTTGACCACCCAACCACCATCGTTGACATTCGTAATGCATGCAATCGTGCTAAAGGGCCATGATGAGAAACAGAAATTCCCAATCCAACCCCAGGGACGAAAGGGCCTCTGGGGCCTGGGTCCTGGCTGCCTCTGGCCCTGCATGCAGTCTCCGTGTATCAAACTAGCTTAGCCCTTATGTGTTTGTACGCCTGGTTATGTCTTTCAAGGTCCAAGAGGCTATGTCTGTGGTCGGAAGTATCTCCTCAGACGAAGTTACGCAAGCGATGCATCACGTATCGGAGGATTTTTGAAGGACTTATCTAAAAGAATCTTGTAATATATCCATTTCAAGCTTTATCTTCCCCATGCAACGACACTTTGAACTACGGTACATCAACTGCCGCTTGAGAGACCAAAAACATATGAACGATCGAGCGGCCAGGATATACTTTAGAGTTTCACCTGGAAAGCCCGCTGGAAAGTCTCACGGCTGTGAGTCGTAGTTGAGAGTGATCAACAGCAGACAGAGAAACTCCACTGAAACTGAAAGCTTACAAAAGGCAGCTTTCACATTGTGGCCTCCACCTAGAGCTGCACGCTGAGGAGCAATAGAGCCAAAGTGGAAGGCTGATTGGGTCTTGGCATAGTTGAAGTGGCGCTTTTCGGGTTGTTGAGCTCATCAGAAGCTCAGGGGAGGTTAATATAACTGGCGCGATTGCGTTGGAGAAATTCATCCCAACATGAATGGTCCTGAATAGCAGCTTGGGATGCTTTTTGCATGCTTAATGCCGCTGTTGACATCCCCTAGGGTGGAACGTGCAGCTCCTGCTTGAGCTGTGAAGATGCTCACTTAATCTTTCAGCTTGTATACTAAGCGATCAGGTGTCCAGGCTGATCAAGAGCTTCTCTTGGATAAAGCAATGCTGTAGGATCAGAAAGGGGTCACCTCTCCGCATCTCCTGGCACTAGGTCAGAATGGATTTCTCATCAGCACCTACAATCTATATTGAGCACGATGGTCACACTTTTCCTTTTTTCACCTGTCAGAGTGAGGAAAAGTTCATCTTCTCTTTGAGAGTTCACTTTGGTGCAGAGTGTCCCCCCACCAGCAAGACAGTGTTTCTGATTGGCGAACGTGATGGTCCAAGGGGAAAGGAGCTGCTGAAGGCTCCTCTTAGCATGTACCTGGAGAACAAGATCTCACATACAGAGCCTCTCAAGTTGGAGTTCGTAGACGATCCGCAACCCCCAGCAGCGGAGGCACAAGCATTCATGCAGGCTGGTCAAAGCGCAGGTGCCACAGGTGCCACAAGCACTGCAGCAAGAAGGTTGGCAGGTCCCTATGTGGACGATGCGCGTGGTGGCCAGTCAAGTCTTCCTTCAGCGCAAGACAAGAGGGCTGCCAAGCTCCGGAAAGGCCGCATCATTAACAAAGAGTGCGACGAAGATGGGGTGCCTCTAACGACGGCAGGCCAGAATTCAGAGATATTGCTCACAAGCTTGGAGCGCGCGGAGGTGCGGAAATTTGTGCTCCAGCATTGGGAGTTGGACGAGATCTCAGGGATCCCATATGATCTGACAGAGCAAGAGGAATCCGAATGTGTTGAGTTGAGTTTCCTGGAGATGCAAAAGAGTCCGATCTTGAGGGGCAGGCCCTATGGTGCTCTTAGGCACTACGCACGCCGGTGAGTTACAATTCCACTTCCCTGCATTGAGCCTGATTCAATACAGGACCATTGACCTGTGCAGGTTGACCGTCCTTTTACGAGCAGACTGCAAGTGATTGGTGTGGAAACATGCAGGAACTAGCTCCAGCTTGGAAGCTTCTTGTCTGACACGCATTCGAATGAAATCACTTCATTTGAGGAGATTTCTAGCAATCAGATTCTGCTCCCATGCTGACAAGTCTCATCACCACTCAAAGCAACTTCAAATGCGGTTCACTTTTGCAGTAGAAAAGAAATTTTGAAGTTGATCATTCGTTACGTACAAAAAAACAATATGCAAAGTTCAGGTCGAGCCTTCACCACTAGTATGTGCAGATGAGTCGACAATGCTTCTGAATCTCTCATCAGTTGCAAGTTGAAGTCAGAATAGACTCGAATCAGCCAGAACACTAATCGGAGATGAACCATGTACTTAGGGCCAATTTGGAGGCTGATTGAGGTGCTTCAGACGTCGTTTGCTTTGCAGGGCTTTCGGACAACTGCCATGCCACCGTTCATTCTGAACATCCGCATACGCTGCTCAACACGAAAGTGATGATAGCCAACGCCTGCCTGACATTCTCAACCATTCATCCATTCTACAGGTGGGTGTGGGATATGAACAGACACCGCACCAAGCCTCTGAAGCGGGGCCTGGACATCCTGAAGCTCCGAAAGAAGGGCTATGAAAGCGGTGGCAATGGAAAGGCAACCGGTGTCACCCGTGAGCCCCGGTCCAGGGCAGTGCCTGAAGTAGACGTTGCACCAAAGCGTTCTTTCAGCAGAAAGTCAAATGACAAGTCTAGCAAACCCCGTTCGATTGCAAAGGGGTCAGCGCAGGGTGACAAGGACGGGGCCCCTCTCAAACCAAGGAAAGAAAGTACGAAAACGCAAGAGAGCGGCGGCAAGCAGAAAGTTGGCGCTGCCAAGGATGCAAACGAGATAGACACGAAAAAGTCCAAAGGAAAGCGAAAGGCGGAGTCTCTGAAGGAAAAAGACAGCGGGACCTCCCCGGGAGCAGCCAAGGATGAAGAGCAAGACGTGGACTCCCCGCCGGCAAGAAAGCGGAAGAAGAGTGCAAAGGTCGCCGAAAACGAGGCGCGGCAGGCGGAGAAGAAAGAGGAGGCGGAGAAGCCGGCGAAGGTGACCAAGAAGGCGGCAGAGGCCAATAGGAAGAGGATTGCGCGACAACTTCAAGAGGCACGAGTTTTCGAGACTCTTGCTGACATGAAAGGGTAAGAATGGCGTCAAGTTTGGGGAGCTGGATAGCAACCGGTTGATTGTTGATGCAGTAGGAGACATTCTATGCTAGCCTCACATCTTCTTCAAACGTTCGGATTATTCTATGATGTGCATCGGTGACCCTATGCTTTTGTGCCATCCAAGTGAGAGCAAATCTGATCATTGTTTGGATGGGGGCCTGCTTCTTCGCTTCGTTGCATCAGATTGGAAGTGCTGATATTAGTGGTTTCGCCCCGAACTGCGCTGCAGCGTTCACACGACAGCGTAAGTTGCCAAGGACGTTCAACACTCCTTTAGAAGTTCCTGACTGTTCCAGAACGTTCGTTCTTCAATTCTCATCCTACAGGACAGCACCAGTGGAGGAAGATTCTGCGGACGCTTGGCTCGAGACAATTGCCGGTCGGGTAAGTCCGGATGAGGAAAGAAAATGCAGAAGCACTCAAGTATTCAAGCATCGCAGCGCTCAGCGGCTGCTCGTGCCCATTGTGGCCGCCTAGTCGACCCTAAGCAAGGTCTCAATTTCAGGATTCCAGGCAGAATGTTGTATCAGAGCTTCTCAAAATCTGAGCGCGTATGTCTTTCACTACTGCATCAACATGCGGAGCTCTTGTCGCGCTTGCCAACATGCATATGCATGTCCCAAATGCAAGAAAGCTTCCTGCTCTGCAGCTTCCTGAAGTCTTCACCTTCGACCAAATATTGGAGAAAGCGCCACGCCGCTTTTCAGCCAAGGACGTCGCGACTGCGCTTAGTGACAGTGGGGACTACGTTCTGGTTCAAGGTTGTTGGGTGAGTGAAGCCTCCATTTCATCTGTTTTGATAGGGGTTCGGCGACATAGGATGATCCAAAAGCAACCTGCTCGGGGCGACTGATTCCCATTTTTTGAAACCGACGAGGTCCTTCCGTTCCGTTCTCAATGGAACGGAACCATGGAACGGAACTCGCATTGCCGAAAGTGCGCGTCAGCGACGGGTGCTGCTTCAGGCCGTTCCGCTCAATGGAACCACTGAACCAGCGGAACGATTACGGCCAACATGAAGCCCGTCTACTCACTTTGTTTCCTATGAAGGGTCGGCAGCTTGAATACAGAACCGACCACTTATGTGTCTACCACGTTCCACCGTGTCGTCTCTGAAAGGCACAAGTCGCCCTCAAGAGCTTGCGAACAGCTTTTCAGTCTACTTCTTTCATTTTCATTCGTTACTTTTCGGTCGGCATACTCATTGCTCCGCGACGCCATTAACTGTCGGTTCCCAGAGTTGCGGAAATACTTACTTTGTTCTGCCACGTATAGGGTTGGGTGGAGCTGAAGAAGCTGGAACAAGGTGGATTCCCTTCCAGGCTTGAAAACTGACTTGCGCGGAACCACAAAAGCCTTTGCGTCTACGGATTCTTTAAGGACCTCGTATAAGTAACGCTCCCCTGTGCCAAACTGACGAAGTCGGACATGCAGGTGGCGTCCAAGAAGTATCTTCGAGCCGAGGTGGATATTAAAGCGAGCCCCGAGGAGATTGCTACACTGGGCTACCTGCGGGGGTACTTCTTGTCTCTGCTGGCGAAAGAGTGAGTTTTCGAAGGTGCTGTGAGTTCCTCTCTTCCGGAAAACGTACCTAAGATTTGGAAGCGAGTTGCAGTCGAAAGGTATCCTTGCTTGATCAGCTTTTGGAGGGAAGTCGGCGTCAGGACGCTCAGCTCTATCAATGGTGGGGGAACTTTCCATGCTTTTGCCTCTCAAGCGCGGTCTTAGGGGCTGTCACTGTTGCCCAGCGAATCGCGCATTCGATTAACTTGGGTAGGTTTGCGCCGTTTTCTCAAGTACTGATACAGGGTAGGCAGATCCAGATCCATGAGCTTGAAGTGGACAAAATATAGATTGTCTATGGGTTACGAGGCCACAAGAAGATTTGAAGGATGATTGAACGAGTAAATATCCGGCCCCCTTGTGGGTTGAATCCGACATTGTTCTGCTAACAAGGGCGCTTACCTCAGCAACTCACCGCTCTAGTTGCTCCACTTCCCGGGCCTCTTTTCTCCTCCACGCGGCCCCGAAACTCTCGCCCCTCGTCTTCCAACCCTCTAAGCTTCTCTTCCGCCTCCTCCACGCTCTGCCGCACCCTTAGAACTTCCTCCCCGCCCCGTCGCAGCGCGCTGTCCGCTCCTCGTAACCGCTCCAACATGACCTTCCGATCAGTTTCTAGACAATCAACCGCTTGGATCGCCTCTTGGACCATTCCATCCAGCGTCTGCAGTTTCCCTTTAGACTTCCTTGCCTCTTCCGCGGCTACCAGGGCCCTCCGGGATTAACGGGCCCTCTCCGCTCGTTCTCAACCTCTATTTTGCGCGCTCATTACCTTCTCCTTCAGCATCAGAAGTCGCTTGCTGAAACGTTCCGTTTCTTCCGCCGTCACGTTCCGCTCCTCGACCACTCGCCGGCACTCTTCTACAACGGAACCTAACTCCGCCCTATGTCAACTTCCTCCCCCTAAATGAGTCCCACAGCTCGGCCTCCAGTTTCCAGCACTTTCCCTTCCAACCCTGGACTCTTTCTCTACGCGCTCTTTCTCAACCACCGCTTCAAAGCCTCCCGCTCCCACAATTCTCTAGCCTTCCCCGCCTGCTGTTGCACTTCTAAAGCTTCCCGCTCCGCCTACTCTTTCGCCTTGGCACATATCTCCTCGCTTGAAAAATCCCGTCGTACGCTATCCCCTTCCTGCCATAGCATAGCCAGCAACTCCCGCAGCTCGTCCAGTTCCGTCCACACTGCCCAGTCCGTCGCCATCTTTACTTGCCTTTGAGCCAGGCTTCCTAGATTCCCCTCCCAGATTCCGAACCACTTTCAAACAAGTATCTGACGCCCCTCCCCATTCTTCTGCGAATGCAAATCCTGGCCAGATCTCTCCAAAGCAGAGACGCACCCGATGACAAGATCCACAGCCGTCAGCAACTTTTCTACAGCCGTCTTCCCCTCTTCCCCCTCCGAACCCACGACACCCCCTGTGAAAAGAAGCTATAAAGGCGCCGTATTAAACATCGTATT